ATTCAATTGATATATTTAGTTAATTATTTATTTTTCTTTTTAAAATTTTCATATATTCAAATTAAATGAGGTATGAGAATATTCAATTTTAATGAAATAAATTTTAGTGGACTAAAATTAATATTTTATTCTATTTGTTAATGTACCTATATTATTTAATTAATTTTTATTAACTATGAATCTATTATAACTCCATTATATTTTATTCTATTTGTTAATGTACCTTATATTATTTAATTAATTTTTATAACCATTAACTATGAATCTATTATAACTCCATTATTTTTTATAGAATAAAACTATTTAATAAAAAAATTAATATTTATTAAATGCAAAACATATTAATTATAATGAAATTCTCCATTAGATTTAGTAGTTTGTAATTCTATTATTTAATAAAACAAGTTAATTTTTATTAAATGCAAAAAAAGATGAATTATAATGAAAAATAAAATGCTACTTCATCACTTCCATATTTTAATATGTTGCCACATAAACATTTATGATATTTTAATATGTTGCCACATAAACATTTATGCTTTAGAAATTATATATTTACTAGTCATATACCTGCGGTTGCGCGGATTATAAGAAATCTAAAAAAATATTATGAATTCACTATTATATTCTTAATCTTTATGTAATTACTTATAGGCACTAATTAAATTCCAGTGCAATTAGAAATCTATAATTCATTTAACATTAGAGACTTTAGATGAGTAAACAGTTTAGCATGCTATTTTTGTGTTAATCTACATGTCAAAGAGAATATGTACGTGGGTGATTGGAAAAAAACCTTGAGATTTGAAATAATATTAAGATTATTATTCAATAATATTATTAATTGCATCATAACAGAAAGTAGCGCAAAAGTTTTTCTAGTTAAAAAAAATTTCATTGTGTTAATAATTTTATTAATTATTGAAAAAAACTGAAAAGCATACCATTAATATTATTAAAATATTAATTTTATCTCTATTAATGTTCAAACGAAAAGAAAGATAAAATAGGAAAAAAATAATGCCAAATCAGCACTCTAAAATTCTAATTTTGTGCCACGTCGACTTTTAAATTTATATTGTTATATATTTATACAGATAGATAGATATAGATAGATAATTAAGGTCATGATAATGCCCTTAAATGAAATTTAAAATATGCTAAAAATAAATTTATTAATGACTAATTAAATTTTATTTTGAATATTATGCTTAATAGATAATTAATGTTAACTATATACCAAATCAATTTTATTTTAAATATTATGCTTAATAGATAATTAATATTAACTATATATGAATAAATATATTTTATTTAATATTAAAACTATATATGAATAAATATATTTTCATTTTTAATTATTTTAATATTATAATAATAAGGTTATACATTTGAAGAAATTAATTAATATTCTATTTTTATTTACTATATATGTTTTTAATTTTATACAATTTAGGACTTAAATTAAATGTTTAGAGCTTAAATTACATTATTACATCATTTTTCTGTATTTATTATATACTTATTTTGCTCTCTTTAACTTAATTAGATAATAAAATTTAAATTTATAATTTATAATTCTATCTATACTATATATGAAAAGTAGAAATGAGGGGGAATTGATGAGATTTTTCTATTATAATCTTTGAAATTTAAGATGCTTTAAAAATTAATTCTTTAGGTCCATAGTTAATTAAAATATTCTTTAAACATAAAAATTAATATACTAAGTATCTCTTTTTCAATGATTTTTTTCTATTAATAGATAGAATTACTTATAGATAATTAAGAATTGAAAATTTAAAATTTTATATCTATTAATCTTAGTATGTCTAATTATTATGTTTTATTTTTATCTATTATTCATTATATAAATTATTAATAATAAAAAATATTAAATTTATTTTAATAATTTCTTCTTATTATTATTATTATTTATTTTTTATTGATTTATTTACTATATATTGTAATTTATATCTTCAAACATTTATATTTTTATAATGAATATGCCTGAATATTGTAAATATAAGACTATTTAAATTCTTCAAATTTATTAATAATAATTAAATTATTTTAATAATTTCTTCTTATTATTATTATTATTTATTTTATTTTTATTTACTATTATTGTAATTTATCTTCAACATTATTATTTTAAATGAATATGTGTAAATATAAGACATTTGAAATTTTTTCAAATTTATTTTAAATAAATATATCTAGATAATTAAGGTTTTGATTTAAAAAAAGGTATGGTTAAATTTCTTTAATTATAAATTGCACTCTAATTTGGTTGATCAAAAAACAAGATAAAAATTATTATTTCTAAACATCTCAAATTTGATTAATTTTATTGATATTTTATTTAATTCAAATCCAGTTCTTTCTATTAAGAAATATAATTTTAACAATAAATTTTTTAAATGATTTTATGATTTTGATTGGCTAAAAAATAAAAGTAAAAATAAAAATTATTATTATGTATAAATATTTAATTTGGTTTATTAGATTAATCTTATTCTATTGTTAGAGTATATTTATTTACTAAAAGAGATTATAGTGAATTTGTTAACAAAACATGTAAATTAATTATAAAAGGTAAAATAAAAACTATATGATGATTTTTATAAATCAATTTGATATTTACACAAAAAATAAAAGCAACTAGTGTATAATAAATTAATATGTTGAAGAGAGAAATAAATTGCTATTTTAAACAGAGAAATAAATATATCAATTTTTTTAATGAGAGATTACAGTGCAAGATATATAATTAAGAAGAATATTTTACTATATATATAAACATCACTATATTTATTACATATAACGAGTATAGTCTACGTGCATTTCATAAAAATAACTAGTATAAAATAAAGGAAATTTTGATACTAATTGAAAAATCTAGACTGAATTTTTTTTTTCTTTACTTGGGATTTACTAAAATTGAGCAATATAGGTCATGTAAACATTAAATTGAGGATCAAAGAGATCTTACTTTTTTACAAAAAATTATACAAGTAAGATGTTATTTATTTTAAGTATATTATTTTATTGACAATATCATAATTAGTGTAATAATTAATATGATATATTAAAAAATAATGGGAAATAGTTTATTTTATTTTGAAAATAAATATTTATCTATATTAGCGAAATTTCTCTTTTGAACTATTTTATCCAGCAATATAATTATTTAGTTTGAAATTATTTGATTCGGGAAAAAAAATTATAATATTTCTTTAAGAGGTTGCAAGTTGAAATCCAATTCTTATTATGAGATTTTTATTTATTTTACCTATTAACTGAAGAATAGATACCTAAATTAACTTATTTAATTTTTTTATACATGCAAGGAAAAAATTAACAACTAGATTAAATAGATTGTATGAAAAAAATAACGTACTCCAAGAAGTATAATTTCTTGTAATATTATAATAAAAAATGACTTTAAATTTCAGATGAAACGTATCACATTTTAGGTTGGATTTTCAGAGTCGAGCCGAGCGGATTAACCTGCGGGTCGACCCTTATGACGTTGGGGCTCGACCACAATGGCCCAACAACGTACCAGAAAAAGCTATAGCTCCATAGGCGCAGAATGGGGTCCACTTGGTGCTTCTGCTGATACGTTACCCTGTCATACTTGACTAAGCAGTATCAATGCTTTTGTTAATTTGTTAATTAGACCTGCCATAAATTGTAAAGTGCATTTAATAGGTGGTTCCTTTACGGTTATGGCGGATTTGGAAGCATATAATTATTTAATGCTGTCTCATGTCAAATATTTTGGCCTAAATACATAATTTAACTCTTAAATTTTCATAAAAAAGAAAAAATTGTGGCACTTTATACTTCAATTTTTATAATAATCTTATATCTCTTTAAACTAAAAATAACAATTTTAAGATTTTTAACTTGTTTTTGGGAAGATTAAGATTTTTAACTTTTATATGCAAAATATTAATTTAATATTTGATTAATATAACTTTTGAAATAATAATTTTACATTTTTCAATTATTCAATAAATATTTAATCAATCTAATTTTACAAATTGAAGTGTTCAATAAGTCAAATGTATTATTTAACAGATCTAATTTTATAAGTTGAAGTGTTAATAGGGAAAAGTAAAAGTTGATAGTACTATAAGATTTTTTGTGAAAAATACATGAGTAAATTTCTGTATTGACTCAATATTTTCTTAAGACTAATCAAGTTTTGGTAGCTTCTTGATACTAATAGTTGTTTTTTGGATTGTGACCATAGTTTTCATCCACTAAAAATATCATTAAAATTAAATGAACTGAATCTTGATAGCCAATTGAATCCATAGTAAATTCCCTTTTAGACTAATTTTCTTTGTAAATTTAGTGTTTGTAATGTAGGGTCATTACTCTTAAGAATATTTAATTTACTTGAATATCATTCGAGCATGAGTATGGAGATGCATGTGCAAACTAAAAATAAAATAAAATAGAATTACTAAAAGCATGAAAATTAAATAATATAATGGTGGATAATTCATATTTGAATTAAGTATTATTGTGTTTATTATTAATCAACAGGAAATATATATGTTACATTTCATTTAAAAATGAATAATTACTTGATATAAATGAAAAATCTCACAAAAAATGACATTTGTTATATAATACCATTGAAATAATCAAATAATTGATTAACGGTATTAACTAACTTTATCGACTCATTCATTGATGATAAAAAGGTATTTTACATGTGTTTGTATGTGCATATTCGCTTCTTAATTTTGAAATGATATGTTTATTTATTGTTTGTCATTCATCATATATTTAAAGACTAACGAGGATATTAATTTATCATTACTCTTTTTATTTTATTTTCTTCGTCTTCTCTTTCTTTTCTTAGTATAATAATAATGACATATAATGAACGATATGTTCTACAAACTTTAGATATTTTCCACTTTAAGTTTTTCTTTAAGTTAAATAATGAAAAGAGAGTTTCAAACAAAAATGAACTGTATTTAAAAACTACCATTTTGTTCTTGACTACAACATCATATGGAAAGTAAACAAATAGAAGCAAAGTCTCTCAAGACACGCACGATTGCAGACACATAAACAAACAAACAAACAAACAAACAAACAAAGTTTGCTGAAGAAAACACATAGCATTTATAAACTTATTTAACCATGAAGAGAGGAAAAAGCTAATTATGTTCTTTTTCTTTTTTCCCCTCTTCTTCTTCTGAATGATCAAAGAACAACTTCAATCGCCCGTTTTCTCTCGAAGCACGAAAAATGTCTCGATTTGGAATTCTTATCTCCTCAAGAACAAAGCTTTCATCACCCTCATTGAATGACAGATAAGTGTAAGGATTGCCTGCCTTGACCAATTTTAAGCAAGAAATTGGTGGAGGAAACAACCCATTCTTTGCATGCAAATTCTTGACATTAATCTCCTTTTTCTCTTCCATGGCATCTTTTTCGTTGGCTTTGACTTGTGAGGAAAGATCAAGTGGTGATGAGGGAAATAGGGTTGATAAAGACAATGGTGATTGTAAGAAACATGATGAAGATGATGAATGACTCCTTTTATCAAGAGAAAGATCAACATGGGTGTTGCTGTTGAGTGTTTGAGGTGATGGAGAAGAATTGGTGATCTTGCTAGAGAAATTGTGAGCTTCCATAGTTCGAAAGTTTAGAAGGAAGCAAGAAAGGTGATAGACAAATGAAAAGTATATGAGAAGTGGGTTTATATTAAGATGAAAGTGAGAAACAGAAAGGTGTAACGCATGAGTTTAAAAGTTCTGTAAAAAGTTATCAACATGCAAAACAAAGTTAAGGTATATAATGATGAAACAATTTGAATTAGTAAATAAATAATAATATAATATTTATGAATAATGCCATAATAAGAAATAACAAAGACCAATGCATTAATTTAAACACAATTTAATTACACTCGCAAGCATAATATCATTGGCAATATTCTAACTATATATTAAAAGCATTCAACTATTAAATCAAGGCCATATTTCCTTTTTTTCTCCGCCACCAAATTTAACAACTATGAGTATGAGACTGATTTGTCTGGATCGGGTTCATGGCTCCACCTATAAACCCAACTAATGAAATAAAAAATTTTATTGAAACAAGAATATTTCTTACCATACATAGAAAAAAAAGGAGAAAGTATGGACAATTTTTTTAAAAGAAATTTATTTTCATCAGTTAAGTCGATGGGTGGAACCATGGATCCAGTTTATGCAAGTATAATCATATATGAGTATAACAACATACCATAAAGTTTCAAACTTTCCATGTTTAATCTTTTTAATGCTTGACCAATTTAGTTATATATAGTAGCATTATTATAACAGATGCAAATTCAACTCATATTTAGTAAAGTCTAATTAATTAATAAAAAAGTGTATCTCCTACATTCTTATAGAAACATAATGCATCATTAATAATATTAAATATATAGATCAAAACATAGAAATTTATTATAAGTAGCTAATAGAGTTTTCTAATCTTTTAACACAAAAAAATATTTATATACTTTTACAATAATAAAACTAAAATTAAAAGTGATAGTAATAGATTCTTTCACTTGAAGATGATCTTGACAAAAGATATAAATATTCATATTAGCAACTAGTCCTTTAATTGATTTAGATGATAAAATAATAACTTCTTTAGCTCTTTTATACATAAATTGTTTTTCCAAGAACTTGCAACATATAACATACACATATAAGTTCTTACCACTTGCATCAATATCATTAATGGAGGAACATACTGTATTACCAGACTACATTGATCGAAGATTCACATCCTCAAATGAAGATCTAAAGTCTCTGATCAAATAAAATTGATCCTAGTTTTACCTAGTAACCACTCCCTCCGATTCATTTATATAGACACAACTAACTTTGCACAAAGACTAAGGAATTAATTAAATTGTAATTTTTGGCCAAATCTTTCCTATTTTGCCCCAACATTGCATTAATTAAATATTTGTTTTGAAAGTCAAATAAGTCATGCCAATTTATTTCCATAAATACAATTAATAACCTATACCTATAATTAAAGGATGAAAATTACTACAAAATCTCATCCATACCTCCTAATTAATGAAAGTTTTACCTCCTAATCAAATTTTTAAATTTGACCCTCCCATTTTTAGCGCAACATTTTGGTGAGAAATGAAAGTTTAATTTTCATTTAAAAAATGTAGGCACTTACTAAAGGTGATATGGATCCATTGGTGCTTCCTAGTGGGCTTGGATGTGTTCTTATCCCTTGTTGCTTGTTTTGGTCTAATTAATATGTAAGGGATATTTCTTATCCCTCTGGTGCTTGTTTTTGGTCTACATTAATATGTAAGGGATATGGGCTCATAGTGTTTTTTAAGTTGTTTTTGTGTTGTTTTGGGTTGGTTTTATGATGCATGCAATCTGCCCAATATCAAGTTGTTTGTTTTGGGCTGGAAATGACTTTATTTTGTGTTTTAGAGTTAAGCCCCTGTGTTTTGGCCCTAGGGCAGCCTAGTTAGATGCTCTTCTTTAGGGTTATGTTTGTTTAAGGCATATAAATAGCCTCCTTAATATGTAAAACGAGATTTTTGGCATAATTTGAATCAAAGGCAGAATTGTTCATGCTCTTGCATGTTCTTCTTAATTAGAGTGATTGTGAGAATTTGCTATTCTCTAATTGCATCAAGAATTAAGGTAAAATTTCATTGGCATTATCTTGTTCTTTTGCTCGATTATTGGTGTTACCGTTTCATTATAAACGATGGGGTGCCATAGAGCATTTTTAATCTCCGATTATTGGTGTTTTCCGTTTCATTATAAACGTGGTGAGGTGCCATTAAAGGCGAACTTACATCTCATTCTGATCTCGTCCGTGTCAAAGCATTTTAATCTCGATTATTGGTGTTTCCGTTTCATTATAAACGTGGGGTGCCATAAAGGCGAACTTACATCTCATTCTTTGATCTCGATCCGTGTCAAAAGGACGTATTTGCAAATTTAATTTATGGCCAAAATTTTTTATAGCATCAATTGTCTCTTCAAATTCTTTCCAATTACCCACTTATTGATAATGGCAGTTTAAAGCTAAGAAATTGCATATGAACTACAACAAAAACTTCAAAAGTCCACTTCCGACAACCATGTCACGTCTCTTCAATCTGAACCTGTAATCTCCTGATTCCCCATAACTTTAGAAAATGTGCTTATTTCGACTGTTGGTCTCTTGGACTTGATCGATTTAAATGCAGAAGAAAACAAGAGTTGACTTTTGTTTGTCCATGATCGATACATGTACAATCACTAGCAATCCATCTTTTATCAATATGCTGTTGACTATGATTTCAGTACCAAACTATAGGAAATTTTGCTACGGTTCCAACGGTGCAAGAATCAGCTCGATCGGATGTCGTTTCGGCCTAGAACGGACCCCCAAAGTTTGAAAATCTTAAAAACAAAGGCCAGGGGCAGGACAACAATTTGCACCGATCGACGCCGACTAGCTCCTGGCCAATACCAATTAGCCCTAAATCGGTGCCGATTGGCTACCTATCGAGCACCTCAATCGGTACCAATTCTGGGCATTAGTACCGCCGTGTCCTCTGCCCAGTAGCCCTTTAGCCCATAGAAAGGCATTTCCCCCTCATTTTCAAACATCTTGTTGCTTGATCGAGCATTTCTCAAGCATCAACAACTTTCACTCTCCCTTGAATGATTCTAAGGCAATATAGTCCGACCTTGCTCTTCTTCCTTAGTTGAGTTTGAGGCCTGACTTGGTACTCAAAAGTTGATCCTTTCGACTTTCACTAACACTTTAGTCTTTCTTAGACCAAAGCTACTAGTTAATTAATTTATTATTAATTAATTTAAGAATTAATTAATAATCCATTAATTAATAATATTAAGAACTACACATTGGTTGTTTTTCAACGTGGAGCACCAATCCGGCAGTGTGACAAGCATTAGGGTATAATCACTCAAACTTAACCTTTGTCAATTAAGCCCGGTCCATCTGACATCTTATCAACTGCTAAACCCAGTTCGTCCGGCACACTGCATGCTTTTAGCAGAGTCCGTTCGGCACACAAATCTCGATCCATTTGGCAAAACTGATAAAACCAATCTTCAAAACCAAAAGCCCGGTCCGCCCAACACCATATAAGCCCACCCCCGAGTGGCACTCTCATAAATAATCGGAAGAAGTAATTTTTAATGACGTGCATTGCATGTTGTCATTATTCATTTTGTACTCATTTATTATTATTTTGTATAGTATTAAGTATTGGTTATAATTTTTCTCTTATATTATCTAGATCTTATAATGTTAAAATATGATTTGATATTAATACTAACGTGAATACAATAGCTAATTAATCATTATAATCAAAATATTATATTTACATACAATTTCAATTTTTAATTAGAATTATATATCAATACAACTTTTTAAATCAATTTATAGATATACACATGTATACGATTACATTTATTTTAAATATTAATATTAGTATTAATTTATAAACATTTGTAGGATATTTTATTAGTTATAGTCATTAATTTTTTAAATATATCATATTAAATTAATTAATTAATTAATTAAAAAGATAATCACATTATTTTGATTATTTTTGATAAATCATATTAATTAAATTAATTAATTCAAACAGATAATCATATTAATTGAAATATCTACTCTAGTGTGTTTATCTTTTTTTTTTTATATATAAATTAATTAATTAAAATGAATAATCATATTATTTTGATTATCTTAAATAAGTCATATTAATTGAATTAATTAATTGAAATGGATAATCATATTAATTGAAATATCTTCTGTAGTGCTTTATCATTTTTTTTTTTACTTTACTTTCTAGGACAAATTCTGTAATATGTAAATCTTTCATTATATATTAACATAAATCTTTAATTATGATATCCCTTTTTGGATCAATATTGGATTCTATTGTTTTGTGATTATCAAAACCAAAACTAAAACTCAATCACAATGACCTCGTTCACCAAGACGCCCAACTTTGACAATCTCTTGCTCTAGACACTAATAGGCCACTTTCAAATCTGCTCACCAAATGCTACCTACAATCCCTTCCTCTCTTAGTATGTTGAGGACCTTCTCATTGATGCTGCAACAATTAATCGAATAACTCTAATGGTGAAAGCTTTGATGCCAGAATTCATTTCTCCAAAGAATAATGAAAACTTGAGAAAGAAATTGTTCAACTAATTTTCACGGGTAAGACTGATTCAGTGAAACCTAACTCAGGAGGCTATTACAGTTGGTGAACAATAAATATGTATTGGGTTCATGAAGAAATAAGATTAGGTTATCAAGTTTGGGATAGACATATTATGTAGTTTGGTGAAGAAAATGTATATGCTCCTGAACATATTTATGGAGATTGTTTTGAGAGATTGCAAGGTAAGGAAGTTGGACGTGGTGGGATTAGTGAGGTAGATGAGGAAGTGGATATAGATACATATGATTAGGTTTATTTTCTAATATTAATTAATATCAAAATTACAATTAGTCAAATATTATTTATATTTTTTAAATTAAAATCTTTTAATTGGTCATAACTAAAGATATTATAGGAAAATTTCACTAAGCCTATTTTAGGAAGTCCTACTATTCCTCTCCTTCCGACATCTATATATGTTATTTAAATAATAATAATAATAATAATAATAATAATAATAATTGTTATTATTAAAAATA